CTTTGTGTTTTAATGTCTATTGTTTATCATAAATTAAAGACGTACAATTGTTAAGAATTGATCTAGGTTAAATATTTAATTTGGTCCCTTATAATATTTTAATGTTTTAATTTAGTCCCACTTTAATTTTTTGTTTCAATTTGGTCCCTAATAATTTAAATTACTGCAATGTTGGACTTTCTGTCTAAATTTCTTAAACGGAGTTAATTGTTGGCTACGTGGATGTCACGTAGATGCATAGGTAGATGTCAAATTTCTATAATGCATCTGGAACCAGAATGACCCCGTTCTAGATGCAAAATTAACACACAACGAGTACATTTGGAACGGGTCATTCTGGTTTCAGAACGGGCTGTTTTGGTTCCAGAAAGCCAACCACAAATGGTCTATAATTATAGTTCATGCCCGTGATTCTAAATCACGGTTGTGAATTGTGCAAGGAAAAAAAATCAAGGTACAAAGTATTTCAAACACTAGATTTGGTAATATTGTCAATGAGAGATTGATAACTTCAATTGCTAAATATTTGGGCTATACACCATTTCTAGACCAATTGCAGGATATAGGAGCTCCTAGAAGTATTAATTATAATACTTGTTATGCAATGCAATGTATCACTAAGGACAATGGTGACAAGTTTTATTTCATTGTTAATCAAACTGGAGTGAACCACTTACTACTAAATCGACACTATACAGTCAAGGATGAAACAACATAGTGTTTCTCCTTGGAGTCATTGACCGATGTACCCCAACAACAACAATATTTCAGTCTTTGTATTTTTGTTTTCAGTCTCTGAACCATATTTCAGTCTTTGAATTTATGTTGTGTTATGAATTTTTGTTTTTAATCTTTGAACCACATTGCTGCATTTTGTTGAACGCGTGTATATGGTTGGCGTTCTGGAACGACCCGTTTTGAATTCAAAAAGGTTCATTCTAAAATTAGAACGGACCGTTCTGGTTTCATAACGACCTGTTCTGCTACACTCGTTGTGTGTTAACTAATGCATCTGGAACTAGTCGTTCTAGATGCAAAATTAACACACCATGAGTATAGTAGAATGAGTCGTTCTGGTTCTAGATGCATTAAAAAAATTTGGCATCCACCTATGCATCTACGTGACATCCACGTGGTCAATAGTTAACGCCGTTTAAAAAATTTGGACGGAAGGTCTGATATTGCAGTAATTTAAATTATTAGGGACCAAATTAAAACAAAAAATTAAAATAGAACTAAATTAAAACTTTAAAATATTATAAAGGACCAAATTAGGGTTTTAACCAATTGATCTATTAAAAATTGTATATAGATCCTAATACGTAAAATTATATATATACACTTAACCAACAGATGTTGGTTTAAAGTAGCTAATATTTTTGTTTTCTTTTTTAAATATGATTTTATATTTAAATATATATGAATGGAGAAAATGAATATTAATATATATATATATATAT